AGCAAGAAACTAGGGGAAATAAACGTCAAGCCCCAAACAGTGATAAAATACGGATAAATGAAGAATCTATCAGATTAAGTTTTATAAACATGTCTACAACCCACTGGGGGTTACTAAAGTATCCGTAAACAAATGTAACTGCTGATTACATGCATTACAATTTCATGGTTCCATTCAGCGTTACTGTTTGGCTGTACATTTTACTATCATTTGTTTCAGTGTAACGATAATGGTAAAACCAGGCTTAAAGATCCATTCCACCAAAATCACTTGCACCTATAACTGTATCCCAGTAATCAGAGCAAAATCACAAATCATACCATCTCAAATTCACCAGTTTCCTGGTTTTGACACTATCAAATAACTTCTTGGTATAGATTTTGACCTTGATCTTAGTATAAATCTTCTGTCAATTTATTTCTTATTTAGACAGGAACTTTATTTTCTTTCAGAGGCTCTCCTCCTCCTCAGATCTTGTGGATACACCAAAGAGCTACATTCTCTGCCTACTCCAGCTCTTCGGGTCTGGGAAAATTCTCACTCAATCCCAGTTTTCTTCTTCACAAAGGTAATCCAAAATCCTCTCTCTTCCCTCCTCTCCCTGATAGCTTTTCTTGGTTACCTTCCTATTAACCTTGACAAAATCAATATGCCAGAATTCTCCTGGGCCTTCTGTTTGGAGACGGCTGACCTCATCACTCACCCCTAATTTGGATACCTATTCTACGCTGCTCTTGCAGAGAAATCAGAGAAATTCTCTTTCTTCCTTCATCACACCTCTGACATTAATTTTATCCCTCCACTAACATTATCCAAATTTCGTAATCTCCCAACTTGATTTTTTAATCAGAGCCCCCCATTTACATTCCTAACATCCACATTAGTCCCTTTAGGCCCTTTCCAAACATGGTATCTCCTCAAAGGTTTGTTCTTCTCATTTGTAACATGCAATATTGGAAAACCTCACTGCTATAAGGACCCTGAACATTTTACTGCTTTTGCACTCTCTACCTATGTGAAGGGTAATCACTTTCACTACCAAGTCACCTGCATCTCTCACAAGTACTATAGTGTTCTCTTCCATACAAGCATCTCAAGCTACTGACACTAGCTAGACGTTTCCCAGAGGTATATCAGACACAGAAGAGTAAAGGATGGATTTGGGGTTAAGAATGGATTTGAAGGCCAAGAGTTCATTAAGTTACCTTTGAAAACTACTCTGATAGAGCCATTCAAATCCTTTGCTGAGATTCACTTCTGTGGTTTCCACAGAAAATTCTAGAGTGAGTCTAAAACTAGTGAGTTTAAAACCATGTGAGAACACACCTGCCTAGCTTTAAACACTGAAAGAATAAATGTGTTCTATGAAACACATTAATAATTGGATGAATAAACTTCAAAGCAGTTACAGTGACCTTGGCAACTACAGCAGTAGGAGTACACAGCAAGCGTTCAGATAAACAAAGGTAACAAAGCAACAAAATTCGAAGTTTCTCATTCATTGAGGAAGACTAGAGGAAGGAATTCTTTTCAACCACAGACTAGACTCTGGAAAATTGTACCTTTTGGATTTAATTCCTCAGCCACGTAAAATAAGTTGCTTTTTGTAAATGGAGATGTAGGTTACCATTTTCTAAAATTGAAATCCAAAGAGACAGCTTAAAAAATGTGACTGCTGACTTCTTCCTGGCTATTTAGAATGTTTCAAATTAAAAAAGAAAAAAAAAGACACGATTTCAATAAAAAAATCAAGGTAGAAAATGGATCATAGAGAAGCTTCCAATTCATTTTATTTAGAAAGGGAAAGATGTTTTTTGTTGCACTAGTCTGCAAAAATCATATATTGATCTATTAATAAAAGTATTTCTAATTCTTTCTTTCAGATCATATCAAACAATGCATTAGAATTTCCTGCGCTACAGTTTTACCAATAGAAGTCAAGATCCAGTACAACTAACGTTTGTTTTATTTAGTCTGTCCTTCAGTAGCATTATCTGACGAGCTCAATTTAAGGGCTGCTTTTTGCAAACAAGTGAGGAGTCCAGGCTTGTGCTCTGCAACAGAGATGCATCCAGGGAACATGCTGTGTAGTTTCTCCCAGTGCTACTTCATTTGTGATGCACACCTAACCAGATCGGGAGGTTTAAAATGGCTCAAGGGGCAGTCAGGTTAGGAAGAGATTTTTTCATTTGCTCACAACACTCTAAATCTTGATGTAGGCTCTGTTTCTAGGGAAGTGATACTAGACTATTTGCAAACTAATTTGTCACAACAGGCCCATTCTAAAACATGTGGCCCAAAGGCATACCTGCCATATGTTTCTCAATGGATTAGAAGATAATGTTTAAAAAGCTTCAGGCATTTTGTTTAATGAAGAGATTAAATATAACAACAAAAAATTCTCTCTCATCTGTTCAACATACATGAGGTTACATGCTTCACAGTTACTTAAGCACAATTTACTAAACCTGAGGTAATAGCACGGTTGCCAAGCACAGATCAACTGTTCACTGCTTAGAAGACAGGTAACTAAAAATAGGCAGCATCTGTTTATTAGAAAAGAACACTATTAATACTAATAACAGTGGTTATTTACCTAGTCTGAAAGTACAGCACCTAACAACACACACAACTCAAGGAACTTCCAGGCTATGCTAGATGACAAAGATTACATATGTAATTAACTGGGTGACTCCAAACCGCCTTGATTCCTGGGTATTTTTGGTATATGGATGCTTTTATAGAAAAAAAAAAAATCCTATCAAAGTACACACATGTGGAGTAGTGGCAGAGAGTTAGTACTTTAAATTGTCAATATGACAATTCATATTTAAAGTCACATTTCATTAAGAAATTTAGATAAGCATGAAAAAGAACTGAAGCATAAAGGAAGGCACAGCAAGAGCTCTGGGGAATTGAAAAGGATTAGAAAGAAGCACTTTGGCAGAGGAGTCAGGGAAAAGCAGAGTCAAGTGTGAACAGAGGGACAGGCAAGGATGGAGTTAAGTTGTTCAGATAGATTCACAGACAAAAAAATTCTTAAAACCTTGTTCTGGAAAGAACATTTCAATGGTACAGTACTCCACAGTCTGACATCTCAAGTCTGTCTATCGTGTCATTTCCAAAAGGGAACCAGTAGGACCATAAACTGGAAGGGAAACAACTGAATCGCACACAGAAAGTACAAATAAGGTAGTAGAGAAATATACAGAGGAACATAGCAGTGAATAGGGAAGCTGTTCAGATGAGACGACAGGTGGCCATAACAGAACAGGAGCTTACAGAAGATGAGATCTGTAAGTCACAAGTACAGAAACGGAACTTGCAATCAAGACAGCAGGTAAAGTTATTCTAGGACAGATCCCAAGTGAAGAGAAGGGGGACCAAGAGGAGGTTTGAATTTTGAGGGTTGCTAAGCAAAGAGGAGAAACAGGAGAAGAGAAAAAAGAAACACCGAACAAAAAGAGATCACAGTTAAGTATTTTTTCAAAGTTTTTTTTTTAATTTGTCTGACATGCTTTTTAAAAGCCTCATCTGTTACAGAATCCAATATTTCATGCAAATTATCTGGCAGATAGTTAATCGATCATTTGTAGGTATTTTGAAGATCTGCACATTGACAAGGGTCACACAAAACACAGTCAGATTCCCTTCCTTTAATAATAAGAATGAGACAGTGACTTAGCATAGTCTAACATTATTTACATGGGAAAGAAACTTGTTAAGAAAAGACTGGTTAAAGTTATCAGACCATACTGCAATGAAACCTAAAAGCTGGAAGCTAGCAGTAGGTATGTTTAGATTAGCAAAAAAAGGAAGGGAAACTGTAAAAATTTGCACTGAAACAAATTACATAACAGAAGTGCCAACCTCCCATGTTGGTATTTTAAATTAAAAAAAAGGAAAGACTTCTTTAAAAGGAGATGCTCTTGCTCAGAATACATTGAGATTGCAGCAGGA